ATCTTAGTTTAAGTTAACTGTTGGTTCAGACTAACTTAATGTTAGCATAGGTTAGCCTGATGTTAGTATAGAATAAAATTGTGTTAGAATACAAATAAACGCTGAGAAGATATTTGTTAAGTTATTTATTTCTAACTTTGAATGAAACATAAGGAGCATACAATTACTATGAAATATCATGCTATTCACAATATACTTTCTTTCTGATGTTATTTGCTACTTATTTGATATTGAATACTTTTTTCAAATCTTATAGTTTTCTAAATCATCTGATTAAAATGACTGTAAGCGTAATTTCAAGTGACCCTTCATCCAATTCACAAATGTACCCTGAAACCCTTCGACTAAACGTTGTGGAACTTATTCTCATTAATCCACAAAAACGCGTTTTATGTTGAACACTTTGCTTGCAACCTGTTTTCAGTTTTAAAAATATTAATATTAATTTTTTCTCTAAAATTTTCGGAGACCGTTTTTAATGTAAAATATTACACTATTACAGCATCATCTGTATAGATTCATTAACAATAACAGATAGGACACTAGATGTTGTCTTTTCAAGATTTATTAGTATTTGGTTCACAATAACCCTGAGGTAGAAGCCAAAAGGAGTTACGCGCATGCTCCAGAGAACGGGAATTTCCCTCTTTGCTTGGCGGCCGGTCACTTGTAATTATGCTCACAGTCCCTTTAAGGCCTGTCCTATGCCCTACTGCCCCAGGTTACATTTTCATAAACATTTTCTTGAATAAATAGAGGTAAACATTGAGCATGTTTGAGAAACACATTGTGCACTGTCGGAACAAATATAAAAAAACATGAGATTTTGTTCTTAGAATATCAGAACTTTTTTTTAGATTATCAGAAATCTTTGACAGTATATCAGAACATTTTGATAGAATATAAGAACTTTTTGATAGAATATCAGAACTTTTTGATAGAATATCAGAACTTTTTGATAGAATATCAGAACTTTTTGATAGAATATAAGAACTTTTTTAAAGAATATAAGAACGTATTGATAGAATATGAGAACTTTTTGTATCTATCTTTATACAAAATTTAAGGCAACTCTCTGAGGTCTCTATTATTCTGATCTCAAATTTTGAAAAAATGTTAAAATTTTATAAAATTTCTATTTCTGTTTACCGAAATATGTAAATCACCAATGGTACCTAGATACCCCTATTTTTCGTAATATATACTTATTCACAAGACGAAAAATTTACATTTATTCTGGTTTAACACCCTGTATTGTAAAGCAGTCCAGCTCAGCGTTATATTGGAGAGGAGGATCGAGTAGAGGTCTGAATAAGCAAAATGTTTAAATCAGCATTTTTATAAAAATTAAATAGTTAGAAAATATAAAATTGTATCTAGGGCACACACTGTCAACTTGGTTTCAAGGAACTTTAATTCAAAGCTGGATATTTTAGAATCATAACCCCGTACCCTGCCACAGAGATCCCAAGGTTAAAAGTACTTTACAGATCTAAAATATACATGTCTATGGCTATAAAAAAAAATAAAGTCAGTTAGTATGGTATAATCAAAAGCCGAGGCATTAAGACACCTCCATCTGAGATAAATATTGTTTTCTGTCTGAAAATGAGAGCAGAATAGTTTCAAGTGAGTTATAAAGTTACTTTGTGGGTTTATCACGTGTTATCTTCCTGATTATTGCTCATAAAGTTTTGTAAAGGGTACCACTGTGCAGCTCCTGAATTGGGGGTACACCATGGGCAGTCGTAGTACATTTGAATTTCCGAGCCGGGTCAACCTTTCCGGTTGTACTGTATCGCCCGGACAAATTGGGTAAATAAAGCGGACACTCAATTGGACTATCCGGTGCAACAAGGTTGACACGGTCAGACTTTAGGTTGAATCAAGGATGTATTGCAAGGAAAGTTATTTCAGAAGTGTACACATCTTTTGTACTGCAGTGTACTGTCTCTGGGCGGTAATGTAAACACAGGACGGATGTCAAAGCCTGACATGGGATCCATCTTTCACATAAAAAAAAATCAATGAAACATTCTGGTCATAGGAAACTATTATGTGAATTATCAAAATTATCAAAATTTAATGCTTTTAACCTCCTCGGATGCTAAACGAACACTGATGCATCTATTCTTGTTTACAAATTCCACCCAAAGAGAACTGGTTTTAATGTGTACGCAGAGTATACACGACCGCAATTAACTTTCCTTGCATTACACCCTTGGGTTGAATTTACTTTTACTAAAGGGTCAGAGGTGCGTGAGACTTGAAACTAAGTTAAAAGTCTTTTGTCATTAAAATATCATGATTGAACATATTTTTATTTATTTCTCCAGACGTGTAAAGGAATTACGACATCCTTTTCAAATGCAACCTCTATATATATTTATATATTTAAATATTGTCCTTTGTCCCAAAAATTGTTAAAATTTATGAAGTTTTGATGGAGTCATGCAGGTAACAAAAATGTTGTAATTTTGTCCATTGCTATATCTTACACATTATCTGTTACCCTAACATCGTATTTCAAAATTACGAATATTTTGTTAAAAAATATGAACATTTGGTTGGAATGTAAAAACGTGTTAGCTTTTCTTAAAATTATGTTAATAATTTAAAACAAAATATTCCTAATTTCAAACAAAACCGTAGGGTTTCTTAGTCAGTGCTACCCTATATGTAACAAGCTTTGTTAGAAATAGCTAATATCCAATATTTGATCAATCAGTTAAGAATAAATAACATGGTAATATATTTGAGGTTAAAAGCTTTTAAGTTTGGTAATCATCAATTTTTTTTCTTAAATCGAAATAGCGAAAGTTTTGATAAACATTTTTTTCGAATTAAATAAACATGTCCGTTTTGTAAGCTTTTTTTCAAAATTACGGTAAGTTCAATTTTGAACAAAATTTTAGGGGTAATACATAATGTATCCTCATATGTTACTCATGCAACAAAAATGGTAGAAACAATGTAAAAAATTCAACTCGAGACATTTTTTGCAACAAATTTATTTTCTGCAAGTTCTGAATAAATGCTGCGTAAATCAAAGACGATTATATGGAATTCCCTGTGCGCATTGATTGTGTGTATTGTGCATATATAGTTATGTATATGTATAGTCATATAATCTGAAGTTAGTAAATCAAATTTGGTTGTTAATTAGATTTAGCTTTAAACTTGCTTTCAAGGGACTGGTCTCGCAACTTTAAAAATTGACTGTGTTTTTTTTTGGCAATTTTGACTTAATTGATATAGAAAAATCATGATTACTTAACATATTAATAAAAATGTTGAAAGTCTAAACTGTGCTACTTTCTGCAAACTTTAAAATTTGTTTTCAAAAGAAAAAGTTTAAATTTAAAAAAAACAGTTGATTTAGGTTAAAGGGAGAGTTCGCGAAAAATGAATGGGGGTATAGGCTTAATGCGAAAAAATAATATAGACGCTAAGTTATTCGGTATGCGACGTCTTTAACAATTTTCTCCTTATAGACGCAACAGATAGAAGTAAGATTAGTAGCGATCTAAAGCGCCTTTTTATCGCATTAAGCCTATACCCCCTTTCATTTTTCGCGAACAATCTGTTTAAAGAAACATGTCGGCGTTCTAATCTAAATGAATGGCTTGTCCGAATCCCAATGGTACCTTTTAGATTTTTGTGCAATCATCGACGACGGAGATATCCTTATTTATCTGGCTGAAAATTGAGTGTAGATAAACTTTACTCTAAATGCAAATGACGTCACCATACATGGTTTCCAATGTTCAGCTAAAGAAGGATCTTATTAAGAAGGATATTTCCGTCGTCCATGAACAGATTAAGGTTGAGAGGGTACCATTGTGAATTGGAAGTGTAGTTTTGATCACTTAATTTTACGTCTACATTCCCTTTAACTATTGTCATGTTTCACCAATATTCATGTTTCACTTTTTTATTAAAATTTCAATTTGGAGAAGAATATTAAACTTTTGGGCTTTGAACAAATCCTTGTTATAACATTGTTCAAATCTGAGGAAAATCAGTTTAATGGTTTCTTTACAGAGTAAAAATATGTTTAAACTAAATATTTAAAATAATATTAAATGGCTTGTTTACTAAATTTTACTGTTCAATGTTAAAACACTTGATCTTGAAATAAAGCTAACTTCAAGCAACCCTCCATGCAAAGATGGTAAGGTCTGATTCACAACAGTACCTTTTAAGCAATTAGCTGATCATTTAGGGCCATAGAACATCTTCAAAAAGTTTAATGTAATCCTTTATTAGTCAACAATTGGGATTCAGAAAAGCCAATTTACAAATGGAGGTTCACTTAAAGTTATGTTCAAGCAGACGACCCTTTATATTAAGAAATATGTTTCACCTTCAAGATCATTGAACAAATCTTTTTAACAGAAACATATTAATTTTCTTTAAATCCGTTGCAAAATTGGGTTTTATATAATGAGGGAAAATAAAATCTCCATTTTGAATCGAGAATTAATCTCTCCATGTGTTAAAAAAAAAGGCGGGAACAATGCGCGAAGGCTTATTTATTACCAAATTTAAATTTTTCCTGCCATTACCTCTGCTGGGCAATACATTTAAACTGCTGTTCAAGAGCTCATTTTCTAGTCGGATAAACCCCTGACTTATTGAACAAAATTTAAAGAAAATTTCCAAATTTTCCGGCCATTAAACTTTCCCTATATCCTCTTTGACACTGCTCAAATGAAAAAATATTGTTCAGAAAAAAAACTAATAGATGTCAAATTATCTACAGAAATATAAAGCACTTTTAGCAGATGTTAAAAACATCTAATGTTTACCGGCCATAGTTTAACAAAAACAATGTCGCCAAATGTAATTAAAAACCAAAAAATCGTCAAATATTCAAATAATCGAATATTCGTCAATGTTAAAGAGCTGAAGTATAAAAGAAAAAACGTCTCCAAATATTAAGAAAGAATTAATTTAGTCAATTTATGAACAATAATTTATATGCGCCAAATGTTCAGTTTCGCGACAAACTACAAGAACCGAATATGGCGGAACGAGGTAATGCAGAAGAAGCAGGAGAGGGAGGCGGAGGGAGAGAAGAAGGAAGGGTTCAACATGAAGGATATGTCCAGGTAATCTGCAGTAAGAAACTTCTGTAAAGGAAGAATTAAAAGTTATCAGAAAATTCTGTTAATAAACGTAAAGTTTGAAAGTTATCAGAAAATTCCGTTAATAAACCGAAGGTCTGAAAGTTATCAGAAAATTCCGTTAATAAACCGAAGGTTTGAAAGATATAAGAAAATTCCATTAATAAACATAAAGTTTGAAAGATATCAGAAAATTCCGTTAATGAACGTAAAGTTTGAAAGTTATCAGAAAATTCCGTTAATAAACCAAAGGTTTGAAAGATATAAGAAAATTCCGTTAATAAACATAAAGTTTGAAAGTTATCAGAAAATTCCGTTAATAAACATAAAGTTTGAAAGTTATCAGAAAATTCCGTTAATAAACGAAAGGTTTGAAAGTTATCAGAAAATTCTGTTAATAAACGTAAAGTTTGAAAGTTATCAGAAAATTCTGTTAATAAACCGAAGGTTTGAAAGTTATCAGAAAATTCCGTTAATAAAGGTTTAAAAGTAATCAGAAAATTCCGTTAATAAACATAAAGTTTGAAAGTTATCAGAAAATTCCGTTAATAAACGAAAGGTTTAAAGTTATCAGAAAATTCTGTTAATAAACCGAAGGTTTGAAAGTTATCAGAAAATTCCGTTAATAAACCGAAGGTTTGAAAGATATAAGAAAATTCCGTTAATAAACATAAAGGTTTAAAAGTAATCAGAAAATTCCGTTAATAAACGTAAGGTTTGAAAGTTATAAGAAAATTTCGTTAATGAACAGAAGTTTGGAAATATCAGAAAATTCCTTTAAATCATGAAAAAATTCATCTCAAAAGACAATATAACTGTGTTGTGTGAAAACTGTTTTTTTTCTGATAATTACAAAGTTTACTAAGTTTACTTTACCTATGGTATTTAAGGCCAATTTTGCCTACAAAACATCCATAACATAGGCTAGAAATGTTTCGTCGGCAAAATTGGTCTTGGCAAAGTAAAATTGTCTGAAAAGTAGATGTGAATTATAATATTACCTATTTATCTTCATTCATCGCTAAATTATGAGGAAAGTAATGGTTATATAAATATATTATAAACTAGGCTTGAAGGATGTTATATCAACACCTTGGTTCCATCTTAAAATAATGATTTGTAAGTGTGAAACGTTTTTGTCGAAAATAAATCCTTTCTGCAACTATAAAAAATATAAAAAAATCATATAGTTATTATTGAATTTTAAAATCATAGATTATCAGGATAAATGTTCTTAATTTTTTTTAAGTATGGTAATGATAAATGAAATTAAAATTTTTTTTTAATCTTAATAAAGTTTTTTTTTCTTTTTTAGCAAAGTGGATCCAGAGATAGGCCCTGCTTCAAAGTAAGGAATATAATTTAATCTAATTAAAGACTTTTTAAAAAAAATTTTAAATTGTCATTTTTTAATTTTTAATTTTTCGAAACACTAATATATGACTTTACTATAGAATTTTGTTAATTTAAACTTTGTTTTGACTTTGAAAACTTAATTTATAATAAACTAAATTTAAGACTTAAATGGACTGTAAAGGAAAAATGAAAGGGGGTAAAGGATGAAACCTGAGAATCTCAGGCATTGAACAATACATATAAGACATGATTCTGATGTTCCAGTCTCGAGAAATTGATATAAAATTATACGAATATTTATATATATCTATATATATATACAATTTTGTATAAAAGCAGTAGGTTTAAACAGATCATATTCAGCAAATACGCAACCAATGGCAGTGCAGTATACTGGTCACGTGATACAGACGGAAATCATGTGACCAGTATACTTCACTGCCATTGGCTGAAATTATGGTGACGTAATACGGACTATACAGACTATATGTACTAATAATATCTTATATCTATAAAAAATGCAAAATAAAAATTTAAAAATTATAATAGGAGCAAGCCTGGGATTCTCAGGTTCCTGTGGGTATAATCGTTTTGAGATTGGTTGTGTATTTGCTGGTTATTATCTGTTTAAACCTACTACTTTTATACAAAATTGTAAATATATATTAATATTCGTATAATTTGGACACAGTTTTACATCAATTTCTCGAGACAGGAACATCAAATAAATGTCTTATATGTATCGTTCTATGCCTGAGGTTCTCAGGTTTCATTCTATACCCCTTTTCATTTTTCCTTTACATTCCCATTAATTTACTGACTTTTCATTGATTAATTGCAGTATTCAATTGCATTAATCGTTTAATTGATCATTTTATCAATCAATTTCATTGCTAATTTTTTCAATTTATTTTTCAATTTCATTGATCAATTCCATTGATTAATTTCATTGATCAATTTCAGGATGCCGAAGAAGTCTAATGGAGAAGCTGGCACAACTGTCGAATCTTTTGTCAACATTGATTAATCAATTAAACAGCGATCAATAAATTTAACAGCAATCAATCAATTTGACAGTGATCAATCAATTTAAAATCCGTCAATTGAAAAAATCAGAAAATTAAAAACAATTCATTCGTTAAACATTCATTCAAATAAAAAATAGAAATATCACATTCCAATAGTTATTAATTGATTAAACAGCAATTAAGTTACTCAACAGCAATTAATTGATTAAACAGCAATACTGATTAAACAGCAATTAATTGGCTAAACAATATTAATTGATTAAACAAAAATTAATTGATTAAACAAAAATTAATTGATTAAACAGCAATTAATAATTAAACAGCAATTGATTAATTAAACAGCAATTAATTGATCAAACAGCAATCAATTGATTAAACATCAATTAATTGATTAAACAGCAATTAATTAATTAAACAGCAATTAATTAATTAAACAGGAATTAATTTATTTAACAGCAATTAATTGGTTAAACCTTAACAAAAATATCAAGCAGTGATCAATTGTTTAGATCAACATAACGATCTATTATAATCTTATATGACAATAACAATAATCAATTGATTAACCCTGTGATCAATTGACTGAACAGCGATCAATCAATTAGTTACAGAAAATGATCGTTTTAACAGCTTTAAATTGTTTATTTATTAAAGTGCAATTTTTTTAGAATTATTATTAAAAACATTGCTTTGGTTGTCTGAAAATTTGTTAAAAATTGATGTTAAATCTTAAATCTTAAAACATGGAGGTGGGGGCTCGAGCAATATTCAAAAGTATTTTCAAAATATCAAAAAAATCGTCTAAAATATGATTTTTTTTACAAAATTTTGCTGTGAAATTCATTTTAAAATAAATTGAAAGTAAAATTGAAAAATAATGCACTAAGATATTTTATAAAATTCAATCTTTCATCTATAATCTTTTGGTGGTTTCAAGATAAAAATTTAAAAAGAAATCTAGAAATAATATCACTTGGAATAAAAGGGCCGCCTCCGTACAAACTTCGAAAATGCGCTTGACATTTTTTATTGCGAATTTTCATGGTGTTCAAAAATAATTATTGGATTTTGAGCAGAAATTTTGAGTAATTGCCCTCATATAATCAAAATTGTCAAAATTAAAAATATCATTAGGTATATCTCACAAATATTTATAATTCTAACATTCTGTTCATGAATTCACATTGCTTTTAATAAGTTTGTGTGCTCCTCTGGTTAAACTGAAGTAAAATGAACATTGTTAGCTTCAAACCTTAGATTGTAAATTTTACCTTTTTTTTCTGAATTTGAACATGAAATAAAAACAGTTGCAAAGTCGTTAAATTAGACCCTCTCCTTGTGTCCAGTCAAATGTGTCCTGTCTAAGTAATATTATTTCTAGATTTGTAATTTGTTGATAGGTTTATATATAATATATATGTTTGATGTTAAATTTATGTCTAAATGTAAACAAGTGTACAACTAGTGCAGTACACTTCCTGTACTATTCCTGTACTATTCCTGTACTATGTACATTATCTGTTTCAAGCCCTGTAGATTTTTGTTCAATAAAGTTTCTAAAAACCCTCATCAGTTAGAAAAAAGCCTAAGATTTGGTTTGTAATGGCAAATGACCGAAAGTTGAGCAAATTATCTCAATTTTGATAATTTTGAAATACTTTCATTTAAGCAAGGCTGCTCTGATCTAAAAACATATCAAAACTTAATTAATTTCCACTTTTAAGAATTCAAATAAACTTTAAGAAAAGTCTCCATATTAATATTTTTTATTGTTTCTGAAATAATTGTTTAATAATATATTTTGAGGAAATAAAAGAATGTTATTAAAGTTATAATTGTTGTATTTGTGAATTATTTCTTTTATTTATTGTAGAAACCCCGGTTTATATAAATATGTGTATGTTGATGTAAAATACATTATAAAAATGTTGAAATAAATGTTTTCTTTTTGCAAAATTATTAACATATTCTAAAATTTCCATTTTTTTTACATCTGGACACTTTTCATCCTGCCTGGACACTTTTCATCCCGCCTGGACACTTTTTTAACCTCGCCTGGACACTTTTCATCCCGGCTGGACACTTTTTTAACCTCGCCTGGACACTTTTCATCCCGCCTGGACATTTTTTTTAACCTCGCCTGGACACTATTCATCCCGTCTGGACACTTTTTAACCTCGCCTGGACACTTTTTTCTTCAAGTGGACACTTTTCATCCAGCTTTGACACTTTTCGCCCCGCTTGGACAAAATAATTTCCAATATTTAGGGCCTCTACAACAATCTAAGATGCAAATCCTATTTTAAAATTGGATGCTAGACAAAGTTGTTCTGAAAACATGGTAAACTAAAGGTCTTGATTAAAATGCCTTGGTTTATAATGTTTGATTGATATTAAATGAGAGATTAAAATTCAATTTAAAATATTGCAATAGAAACAGGATCACACCGTTGGAGATAATTTTACGTGCTTCCTTCTTTACTTATCCTCCCCCAGTCCCCCCTTTCATCTTCCCTCCTCCCGCTTCCCCCTTCCCCTTCCTCTCCTCAACCCCCCTCTAATTCTTCATCAACACCACCTTAATTTGCTTTTCTTCAATTCTCGCCACCCACCTCATCAGGTTATAGTAGGATACCCATGTAGAATAGTATAGATGTAGGTAAGTATAGGTTTTCAGGCACTGCTCACCACTAGTGTATGGTGCTAGCATCTATTATGAATGGTTCTTATAAACTCTAAGTATAGTAGTAGCAAACCCATGTAGAAACCTCTAATACAAGCTAATAATAGTATATATGTAGTTGAATATAGGTTTTCATTCACAGCTCACCACTAGTGGTCTTATTATCTATTAAGAATGGTTCTTATAAACTCTAAGTATAGTAGTAGCAGACCTATGTAGAAACCTCTTATACAAGCTAATAATAGTAAATATGTAGTTGAATATAGGTTTTCATGCACAGCTCACCACAAGTGGCGGTAGTATCTATTAAGAAGGGTTCTTATAAACTCTAAGTATATTAGTAGCAAACCCATGTAGAAACCTCTCATACAAGCTAATAATAGCTAATAATAGTAAATATATGTAGTTGAATATAGGTTTTCAGGCACTGCTCACCACTAGTGGCGGTAGTATCTATTAAGAAGGGTTCTTATAAACTCTAAGTATATTAGTAGCAAACCCATGTAGAAACCTCTCATACAAGCTAATAATAGCTAATAATAGTATATATGTAGTTGAATATAGGTTTTCAGGCACTGCTCACCCCTAGTGGTGTTAGCATCTATTAAGAATGGTTCTTATAAACTCTAAGTATACTAGTAGCAAACCCATGTAGAAACCTCTCATACAAGCTAATAATAACTAATAATAGTAAATATATGTAGTTGAATATAGGTTTTCAGGCACTGCTCACCACTAGGAGTGCTAGTATCTATTAAGAAGGGTTCTTAAAAACTCTAAGTAGTAGTAGCAGACCCATGTAGAAACCTCTCATACAAGCTAATAATAGTATATATGTAGTTGAATATAGGTTTTCAGGCACTGCTCACCACCAGCAAAAAGTCCTTTTTTAAGATCAGTTCATGTTTAAAAATTTCATAAATGTTAATTTAAAAAAATTTGTTTGTCAAATTCAAGTCTCATCCTCTATGAGTAATTAAGGTTGTTAAAGGTCATCACTACCGTTGTGGAACGACATGCCACTCTATAAAGTTTAACGCAGTTTTATTTGATTGAATTTGATATATTTAATAAGATTAAAAGTAAAAACTGTGTGGCAGGGATTGAACCCGTGAACATCAGGCGAAAGCGGATCAATAGATAGATAGATAGACACACAAACTGTGTCAACAATGCCGCGTAATAACTAAATTTCGACATTGTAAAATTTCCTACTATAACAATTATCATCAAATAAGTTTCAGTTTTTATTAAACTGTGCTTTCTATTCATCACTACAAATCTCGAGCGTGAGAAACAAGAGTTCTGCAGGCTCATTGGTTTACAATCCTAAGCAAAGAGAATAGAATATATATTAGAGGGGAATTTACAAGAAAAAAGTGTAAAACGGTCATTTTGTTGTACTGTTTCCATACTGCAGGTGTACTTCACATATCTATGCTATATAACCTGTTGGGCCCTGGAATATCATTTTATAGAAAATCTAAAATTAATGTTAAAAGAAAACCAAATTATGAAATAGGCTGGTTTCATAATTGACCAATGATCATTTCACATAGACTTTCACTTTACAAATGATGATTTTCCGTTATAACTATAATCAAATGATGTTTTTTATTCACCTTATTCATTATAAAGTTTATTTAAGAGCTTTGAAAAATTCAAAATTGAAATGAATAATCTAGGAAACATACTGTATTAATGCACTCTACTGCACATATAATTTGTGAACATTTACATGATTTGTACACTTTGAACTCCCTTTCAGGCTGAAAGGGACTGAAAAAATTCATACCGAGAATTCATTAAATTCCCCTCTAATATATTGTGGAAGACGATGCCTGGCCGCATTAAACAAGTTCCACAAGATTCAATAGAATGAGATAGAACGGATACGGATACGGGGCATAGTACTGATAAACATCTTCACGTGTGATTTCGATATTTACTCTAGTTCTGAACCCTCTAGTAATAAGTTATAAGAAATATATATATACTGGAAGTTATTTATGCATTTTTATTAGAGTCTGACTCACATCCTCTATATTGGTGACCCCCGACTTTGAACATACAGTTAAACGCTATCCAGTTTCATGATTTTCTTAAACTTTGAACATTAAGTGATACATTCGAGCATCATGACGGACCAGAAAGAAACTCCAACCGAGTACTCTGAGTGTTATTTCTACAAACGTTTTGGTCCTGCAGTTTCCAGGGAAACGCCAGAGCCGACGGGAGGAGGAAAAATTAAACAGCCTTCCCGTCGGCATTATCTTGTGTACCCTGTCAAACGGTGATTATTTAGTGGACACTAGAGCTTCAAGATCTGTGTTTCCTCATCGTTCCTCAGCTGCACCGACAGGCCCCCGCCTCCTAATGGCTGATGGACGGCCAACTAAAGCTTGGGGTTCCAGATTGATTCCTCTACAGTTTGGTTCCTTCCAGTTCCAGTTCCTCCTTGCCGGCGTGGACCAACCAATCCTGGGAGCAGACTTCCTGGCAGAGTTTGACCTCCTAGTCGACACCAAGAACCGCCAAGTTCTTCAAAATCTCTCCTTCGAACCTCTTGCACCGCCTAGGTTTTCTCCATCCGATTCCACCTTTGCCTCTTTGTGTAAATTCGCCCCTGATGTTGCCTCTCTCCTGGATGAGTTCACGGCAGCCTAGAATCCACAAACACCTGGTAAACTCCCTGAGCACAACGTTGAACATGTGATTGAAACAGAAGGAGAACCGTTATATGCTCGCCCCCCACCGTTTGGATCAAGTTAAATTAGCACAAGCTAAAGCTGAGTTCCACAAATTAGAATCGGCAGGGATTATCCGTCACTCCGATAGTCCTTGGGCCTCACCTCTACATATGGTTCAAAAATCTGATGGATCCTGGCGTCCTTGCGGCGATTACCGCCGTTTAAACAATGTTACCAGACCAGACCGGTATCCTCTCCCTAACATTCGGGATTTTACAAACAATTTAAGAGGTTGCAAGTTTTTCTCCAAACTCGACCTAGCGAAGGGTTACAATCAGGTTCCCATGAGTGAGGCAGATATTTGTATAACTGCCATTGTGACTCCATTTGGATTGTTTGAGTTTTTATATATGCTGTTTGGACTGAAAAATGCGGCTCAAACATTTCAACGATTGATGGACAGGATCTTTAGAGGATTACCCTTTGTTTTCATCTACTTGGACAACGTCCTGATTGCCAGTCGGACCAGGAAACTCCACATCGAGCATCTCCGGGTTGTCCTAGAGCTCCTGGTTCAGAACGGATTAGTGTTGAACCTGGATAAGTGTAGTTTTGTACAACACGAGATTGAGTACCTGGGACATAAGATTACTG